GAAATTAACGTCTCCTACCCCTAACCCTGCAGGAGACGGGACCTCCATTTAATTGTCCCTAACCGAGAAGCCTAGAATATCTAAACCATTTCTTGATGTTATAGAAAGGCAGCATATTCTTCTCAATTATTTTAAGACCTTGAGTGTTGGTCCGGCCGGGGCTCGAACCCTCGACCTTCCGCACATCAGTCCAGCGCTCTATCCATTGAGCTAACCGGGAGGCGGTTAAGTCTTCTGGACAGGAATGATGTCTTTCAGGGGGTGGCAATCCCCAATATTTCTATGCTTTTCCCTTCGTATTTACAAGGAGAATTATTTTAGCAATCAAAGGTTCTTAGGTTGGCGATCGTTTCTCTTATTTTCATGATCTTAATAAAAGATTTACTATTGAAGTAGTACTACTGTTGGAAAGGGTTTAGGCTTTAAAGGGCTACTACAGAAAAATGGGGGAAAACCTCCTTTGACAGCTTGTTATAACATTGACGTTATGGCTCCATATGTTGTAAGAGAAGTTAAACAGAGGTTACATGTGCTGGAATAGGAATTGATACACCTCAAGTATTCACCAAATGAAAATTCATTCTCAGCCTTCAGTGTTTGCTGAATCATAGACATTTAAAAACATTGATCACCACACACTGCCAGCTGCTATATTTCAATGTGACAATTTCGGCTTCTTCTCATTTGAATTATGCCTTTGCACGTTATTCCTGGGGATGATTCTGGAATCGCTGATTAGTAGAGCTAGTTAGGTTAATATCTCAGCAATTCCTTTTCTCAGAAACTGCTAGAAAATTGTTCTAAATCTGGAAAACAATGACATCTTCGTTAAGAAAAGCTAAAAAGATTGGCCAATCAGGTTACTTTCTCAGTAATTCCGGTCTTATTTTAGGAACTATTAGCGAGTTTTCCACTATCTAAGAACAATGTCATCTTCTTTTAGAAAAGCCAACAAATTCTAAAGCCGGAACTACGGTAAGAATTCACTTCAACTCGTCTCCAAAGTTAGCTGAACTCTTTTGAGGATTCATTACAAACAGCAGAGCAAAGGGACTAAAACTTATCATATTCATTAATTTTCTTTTATATGTGCCTGGGACTAACACATTTTAACATTGTCACGCGCCTCTTCTCCTTCTACCTCATTCTTTGGAATGTCACAAAACGCACAATCACTCCATCATCTCTTAGGAGGTAGTATTGCATGACATTGCGTGAGTCTGCTTAAGAGATTGACCAAGATTATAACTCTCAGAATTGATCAACGTGTAACCTCTCCCCATAATATCGATACATCATCCAGCAAACAGGTGATGAGAATGCTAAAAAATATCAGGTAGGGGTTGTTATCTTAATCTAGCACCAAATTCTTGGCAATAATTTGGAGGTATATGTCCAGAAGCTAGACGGGGAAAATCAACAATCAGATCTTGGGAGTGAAAGAGTTAATTAATAATCATTTCATCTTAAGGGTGTTCTTTGTATGAGCTTGCAGCCAGAGTAATGTTGTGACGTCGTAACACTTACGCTTAAGATTTCAATCGTTAAGAAGGTTTTGAATTTACATTATGTTATCTGAGCATGATATTATCAAATATATTGGCAGTCAGATTAAAAATAGCGATGCAAAAATTAATGATTTCACTAGGTTGGTGAAGTCTAAATGATAAGGTAAATTCTTCTAAGAAAATGGTTAACCGAAAAATGCAACGAATCATCCTTGCTTTGTCTAAGAATATTTTCTGTGCTTTGTGTTTTCTCTTCTCTTTCCTCAAAATCTTGTTTTATGTAAAGATACGTCAAGCACTCTTTCTATCACGAGCCCTGTTCAATTAGGGCATTATTCCATTTAGTGGAAATTGCGAGCTCCGCTTTCTGTCTTGGCTAATTTACATACCATTTGATAACACTACCGCTTTCAAAGAGAACGATCAGTAATCAGACCCAATCTGCACAAATCCAGCGATTAAATGCATATATTTGTATTGGTCCAGCTTGTATGTGGAACTGCAATGTCTTCATTTTAAATTATTTGTTCTTTTGCATTCACTATACTTTCACTTATCAGTCGACGCTCATTTTCTTGACGTAGCTAGGGTCCGCTCGGTCCGTCAGTTTACGAATTGCTCATCGAAAGAACTACAGAAGGCGTGCTAGTTCCTACAGGAGTTGATCTTAAAATTATGGCCTCTTTCAGTGCATAAAATTTTATCTCGAAATGATTATTTACAGAACCTGTCTTGTGAGCTACTACTTGCGTGGCAGTTCGTTGGCTTCTTTCTCTATGAAGAACGAGCTAAAATAAAACCCACAGCCCTTTGTGGTTTAGAGTGAATAGCGTAAGTAGGTCCTACCCGCTTTGCGGACCAGACGAAAGAAGAAATAAGGATGCTTTTGAGCAGATGAAAAAAGAAAAATCACTCACCCGTTCCATAGGTTCTTCCATAGCCATCAGCTTATCCCTAAATGAATCGACTTTTTTTCTCACACGTTTTTGACCAAACTTTGACAGCATCCACCTGTTAACTGAAGGGACAACAGAGGAACAGTGACCGCCGGTAGTCTATAAACGGACAAAACAAAGACAAAACTTCCCCTTAAACGGGTGAAAACACAACGCCGGCCTAGAGGAAGTACAACTAAACATAAAACTGATATTTAGCAAAACCGCAAATTGAATTCTTTTTCAAAGTCAAAGCTTTCCTTACGCTAACTGTGACAGTCGTTGCAGGTCGTTAAGGAAAATCCGAAGTCTGGACGTATGGCACGTCGTAAAAGTCAATTATATGTTTCACAAGCGCTCTTTTAAAAATAGTAACAGTCGTATTGGTGTGTGAGTGTAAAGATTTCTCAATACTCCATGAGAGGTTGAAGACGGATAGTTCCCAAAGATAATTATGTGCATAATTAATACGATTGAAAACCGCGGGTGTTAGGGAAGACATGGAAAGGTTTTGTTGAAAGTAGTGTAAGTTATAAATGACTCAGGATGTGTTGACTTAGAGTGAGTGTCGGAAGTCTGCGTTGTTAGCTTTAGCTATCAGAATTCCTTGAATTTTTTTTTTAAAGACGTTTTCTTAGTTTCTCTGTATGTCCGCTTCTAATGAATCGCTTCAAGACCTGCCTACTGATGAACTAGTTAATTCTCTTAGCGATATAGTGGTAGTTTTAAAGAGATGGTATGGAGAATGTATAGAATCGCATGATAAGGAAACGCATTTCCCTTCCACTCTAGAAAGAGAACTAGCTATTACTCTCTTGGCTCAGGTCAAAGGCATTGGTAAGAATATGCTAATTTTTTCAAACAAAAGGTTCGAATCTCCTGACGGGTCGCTATCAGTGTTTTTTTTGCAGGACAATGAAAAGAAGAAAGAAATCAGGCATGCAAACATGGCGGTAAGCACAGATGTAGTTGATTAATTATAAAAAAAGATTCATGAAACATTCGCTTCCTTGTTTAGTCTACAACGTAAAAAAACTCGGGCTGAGTAAGAAGCTGAAGTGGACAATCTGGCGATGTTGCATTTTTAAAGATCAAAGGAAAAAATCCGAAATATAATTATATAAACTGAAAATTTTCACCTCTAATTGAGTGGGAAATCTTTTCCTTTTCGCTTTCATGAGCTTGCTCGATCGCTGATTTCGGATGTTTCCTTCGTATGCCTACAGTGCGACGGTTGTAAATAATGAAGCGTTTACTGGTTTGCAATGACAAGTTATTCAAACTAATTTATTTGACATTATGGCCGTACGTGCCTTGCATACAATATCAATTCGTGTGTCCAGAAGCACGTGACCGCATTTAACACATTTAGCTGCACGGAAGCGAATGTTAAGTATTTCAGAATGACTTTGTTTTCTGCAAGCTACTCAGAAAGTAAATTATTTTATTACATTTTTATGTTTGGGTTGTGATAAAAGTTAGGATCGATTCTCCGTTCTGGGAAACAACAAAAAAAATATCGCTCAATAGACACTTCTCTTTTTTTATTGATTTATCAGTGAGTCAGTGAACTCGCAGCTGAGCATAATGAAACAGTTTGAAAGATGATCAAACATCACGTTTGCTTTGTTTTGCGGTTTGTTTTTTTCGTTTTCACATAGAAGCCTTGAACAATCTCGCTTTTTTATCAAGAATTTTTTTTGAAGGTGTATCTGTTAGCGTTTCCTATTAAAAAAAAATCCACTCTTTTTTAAAGTAAGATTTACAGATTTCGATTCTAAGAAAAGTCAATAAGATCTAAAACAGTTACAGTCACGTTTACAATTTGTAATTAGAGCTCTCCATTAAAAAAAGTTGACAAAACAAGGTGGTAGCGAAACTAGATTGGCGACACGTGGCATGCTGATCGCGACAACTTTTATACTTTCTCAGACCAATAAATGCATATAAGCCACAACTCTGCACCAGGTGGAGACTTGGAATATTCAAGAATTCTAGGTTTTTGCAGAGAACGTGAAGTCTAGAATCCCCCACAGTTTACCTGACTCTATCAAGTAATTCAGTGATAAAGAGCAGTTTGACTAGGTAGAAACACAATGACAACCTGGATATTTTACTGACATCGAGTTCATATGCATACTGAGATATAACAGAAATTCTTCCTCCTATTAAGTAAGAAAATGGCTGTCAGCCTTTAGAAGAATTTTGAAGTCGTCAACTAGACATGTACGACGTTTTGAAAAAGTGAATATTTAAAAACTAGTTGCTTGGGATCCATGCGGATTGACCAAACGTGGGTATGATTTATTTTTTATTCAAGCCTGGGGGTTAAATATTCCCCTGAAATTCTGGAAACATTTTTTTATCCTCAGGCTGATATCTTCTTGGAGTAAAAATTTTTAAAATATTTTTGTCCAACAGATTGAAAATTACCAAGAGAAGATACCCTCTCTTAAAATATGGTCTTTGGCAAGCACGAGATCGCACTAAATAATGTAATACCACGGTGTTTAAGCTCTAAAATCACGCTGGTTTTTTTAATAAAATGTTCGGGACCCAGTGGATGTGGTATTGAGTTACAGAGACTGTCATTGCTTTTCTTGCAGGTTTTCGTTAGTTTTTACAAGATTTTCTGTTGATGTGGGTCGTCAGGAATACTGTATTCCTTGTAAGGGAGACTCACGGGGGAGGGGAACTTAACCCCCAGGATAATGTTTGATGGGCTTTGCATGATAAGCGCCTGAATTTTCTCGGAAAATTATTTTTAAATCTCTTAGACAAGAACTATTCGATTGCGAAATTTCGATAAGGATCGGTAAAATACCCTACAGGGTATGGTGTGAAATCCATAGATTAGACGGCTTAACTAATGAACAGGAAAAGACTTTAAGGCATTTTCTCAAATCTGAACTAAGCAAGGTTAAACTGAATATACCGAGAAGCGTTAAAGACGTACCCCGTGAATTTTATTATGTCTCGTACTGATAAGACACTCTGAAGCTCGCACAAAAATACGAGCTCATATCATGCAAACGCCTCTACCTGATTTTAGTGCCAAAAACAGATGTTTCCAGACAAAAACTGATATTTCAGACCATTTTAAACAATTTCGACTTGGATACGTGATGTATGCGACTTTTTAGATGTTGGCAAATGTCACGATTGCAAGTTTGAGACCGTCTGAACAGCTCAGTCTTAGCCATCGTTCCGGTCACATGCGATGGTATTGAAAACCAGCTTTTGCCCTGCAGAGACAGTTAAATCTGTCTCGATCGTCGTGAAGTCAACGAACCATTCAATTTTTTTCGGTCTTGTTTTTTCTCATATGGAATGTTCGAAAATGATGACCATGATCATCATGTCTCGGATCGGATTCAAAACTTAGTAGTCACGTTCAAATACCTCGAAACTGAAACTATGGTAATTTGTTTGCGAAATCTACTTACTGCTCACTTGCCAGCATCACGTCTGTCGGTGTATCAATATATAAAGGAATAGTTTGAATGAGATATTACAACAAGCTCAAAGTATAGATTATTAAGTATAAATTATCGTTTATAGGCTCTCTCACTCCATGGTTTAACTCCCAATTCACGCGGATATTTTACGAGTCAGTGCAGTATCTTTTTTCGATCCCTGCTATTCCAAAATGACCATGCATGCCATGTGACATATGTTACTCCATCAAATAAGAGACTCAAAATTTCACTACAATATTTTATCTTGTTTCACTATTATTAATTTTACTTGTATTTTGGTGTTTAGATTTTGAATGATTCCTCAGCATTATCTGAGAGTCGTATAAATTAATAACAGGGATAACTGAGTTGGTTGTGAACTATGTGAACCGTGAAGATTCCTCGTGATGTAATTCAATGATTGGCAATTGGGGTCGCCGAGCTCCTCTTTGTTATACAGGCACATTAAAGGTGACATAAGGTTGTCAGTCAGAGGCTGTAATGTTTCTATGGTAACCTATACCTCACCCAGGGGAAACTGCCTTGCAAGACTCGGCCTCCCAAGCAATTCCTCAACACAGGCTGAATGATTTAAAAATCTCCATAACTGACCCATGCCTCTGCCCATACAGGAAGTAGATGTCACGTCTCTGGTTCCGTTGATGCAATACAGTTTAATTTGCATGATGCACGATCCTCGCAGTAGAGAGCGCTATTTATGCAATAGCGAAAATCAGACCCGAAAAAAATCAGGCCTGTACGGGATTCGAACCACTGACCTCTGCGATACTAGTGCAGCGCTCTACCAATTGAGCTAACAAGCCAACTGGGAGCAGGCTGTTAAGTTGATTCGTAATAAACCCGTGATGATAAATCAGGTACAATGAATATATGAAGTTCATATATATTTTGAACTGCGGTTGTAGATATGTATGATGCACGATCCTCGCAGTAGAGAGCGCTATTTATGCAATAGCGAAAATCAGACCTGAAAAAAATCAGGCCTGTACGGGATTCGAACCACTGACCTCTGCGATACTAGTGCAGCGCTCTACCAATTGAGCTAACAAGCCAACTGGGAGCAGGCTGTTAAGTTGATTCGTAATAAACCCGTGATGATAAATCAGGTACAATGAATATAAGAAGTTCATATATATTTTGAACTGCGGTTGTAGATATGTATGATGCACGATCCTCGCAGTAGAGAGCGCTATTTATGCAATTGAGATTTTAGTTTAGTCAGTTATTAAAACAGCTGAATACAAAGTTTCAGTTTATAGGGTTTTTCGTCTCGTGATAAAGCCAGGTTGAATTTCTATGATTTTGCGTGACACGATATTTAATTGGGCCTGAGAATGCCGTCACGGCGTAGGTTAAAAAAAAAAATGACTTAATCGCTGAGATTTCAATCTGAACAGTCCTTGTATGAGAATAAGCACTCATACAGATGTTTATGAGCCCTCAGAAGACGACTACAGCCTTTTTATAGCAAAACTATGTTATGCAATAATATGTTTTTGCATAACATAGCTTTCGGCCGCCGCATTAACGCATTTGTGCCCCTCAGAGGGACACAAACATGGCGTCTCCGCGCTAAGCCTCATAAGTTTAGTAAATAATTTCTTCGATTATCTCCCGCACGAAACATCGCACAGACCTGAATCTTTCCGAGACTGTTTGAATTTTCATCTTCTTCTATTTGTTTGATTCTTGACTTCATTTGTAGAATGGTTTTGTTGATGGTGGTATAGTGAAAACCGGCAGTAACCATTAATCAAGTTCCAGCTTTTTAAAAGTATACACCTGGAAATAGCTTTAACCGCGTTAATGATGACAGTGTTAGGGATAGCACACAACTTCGACGCGTTATTCGTATTATTCCTTTAATTTTCGACCATCTAAATTGATGGTATGAAAATGTCATGAAAAACGGTTACAAGACGGTGAAAACTGAGAAAGAAAACAAACAAAAAGACGAATAAACAAAATGAATACCTAAAACAAGCGTCAATCGAAATCCTACTTACATTTTGTGCGAACCAAACGATTAAAAGAAAAGTTTACAGCCCGCAAGAGCTCGTAGATAAGAACACGTGTGAGAAGTTACAGACCAAAAAAACGATGTGACCAAACTCTACCTCGTGTACATGTACCGAAACGTAACGCAACAAAAAAACTGACAAGAACAAAGGAAAAACGTCACGGACTAAGTTTAACTGAACAGACAGTAACAACTTTAACAAACAGACAAGGAGATAAAGTTCTGATTTTAAAAAGGATAAATAATATGCTGAGTAAAACTAGGCACGACAGCATAACTTTCATCAATTGTAAAGTGACAAAATCGTCCCAAAAGTTGGTAAAACTACCTGGCATTGGCTTTCACTAAAGACAATTGTTTAATACTGTCGAAACATCTAAAAACCACAATGTACCATGCCATATACAAATATAGTTTATATCTGACCACTTGCAGCCCAGAGGCTGAATTACGGATGCAGTGTAAGGTTGAGAACAGACGTCAGCATATCAGGCGCCTCTGGCA